GCCAAATTTTTCTTTCATTTTCACCCTTAACTACTATGCTGGGCCAGCTTCTTTGTCAGAAGCCTCTGAGATATTGCAGGACATTTTTTCATGGAATCCCAGAATTACTGAGGTTGGAAAAGCCCTCCCAGATGATTGAGTCCAAGCTGTGACCCCCTTCCAAGTCCTGAGCACCCTTTCCATGAGGAAATTTCTCCTGGTGTCCAACCTGAGCCTCCCCTGGCACAGCTTAAGGACATTTCCCCTTGTCCTGTCCCTGTTCCCTGGGAGCAGAGCCCCACTTTGCTACAAGCCTCAAACATTCCCAAAACCTTTCCCAAAGAAAACCTGCACTGACATATGTATATAGAATTTATGAGGACATATTTTTATCTGTGCTTTATTATAAAGGAAGGAATATTAAGGGTGGAATTATTCATCCATGCTCTCTGTGCTGCTCTTTGGGATAGGGATGGACGGGATGCAGAGAGGATGCAGAGAGGGTGGTTTGCCCAAATTGCAGCATGAAAAAGTCAGGACATTTTGCATGACACTTATTACTTAAATAAAGTAAATAAAATCTCTATTAGGGGAGTTTTTTATTTCCTGAGTATTCAGGGCATGGTCACCACTCATTGTTCAGACCATCCTCTCTAACCCTGTGCTTTTAAATATTAAATATTACATTTCCTACAGTCTTTGGATGCTTTTGGAGGAAAAAACCAAACCTGTGAGATTCAAGGGAGCTCAGACATGGTGGACACCTTAGATTGGTGGTGAAAGATCTGGGGATCATCCTGAGCTTCCATAAAGGAATGGACAGGGCAGGAGAGGGCAGGGCTGGAGCATGTCCATGGAAGGGAACAGAGCTGGGAAGGGACTGGAAAACTCCTGAGAGAGCTGGGAAAGGGACTCAGCCTGGAGAAAAGGAGGCTCAGGGGGGACCTCGTGGCTCTGCATAAGTCCTGACAGGATGGGCAGGGAAAAAATGAGAGGAAATAGCTTCAAATGCCACCAGGGAGGCTCAGGTTGGAGACTGGGACAGAAAATTTTCCTGCCAGAGTGGTCAGGCCTTGGGCTGAGCTGCCCAGGGAGGTTTGGAGTCACTGGAATTGTCCCAGAGGAGTCTGGATGTGGCCTTGGGGACAGGGTTTGGGGTGATGCTGGTGGGGCTGGGTGATCCTGAAGGGCTCTTCCCACATTCTTGATGACTCTGGGATTCTGGGATGCCCCATGACATGCCCACACACATGTGACAGACAGGTGTAGTCACTACCTGTGTTGCTGATATGCACGAGAGACCCTCAGGCCCTCAGATCTCATCCCAGGGATATCAAACATCCACCTGGGAATGGGTTTATGAGGTCTCAGGGTCAAAAATTTCTGCTGGGAACAAATCCCATCATGGACAAAATGGACTCAGGCTCAGGCTGATGTTTGGGGAGTCTAGAGAGAGCTTTAAATACAGCTGGAGGGGGAGATTCCCAAAAAGGGGGGGAGTTGTTCACATGGAGATGTGTATTTAGGGAGATTCCATGTGGAATGGAGTCAGAAGTGAGAATGAACAGAGACTGTAAATTCATATCCTATGGGGAATCCAATACTGGCATTTGAAAGCAGTGCTGGGAGGGCGACAGGGACAGGCATTGAAAGTTTCCTTTTCTTCTGCCAGAGGAATGTTTGAAGGAGGTAGAGCATTGGAAGAACTGGGAATTAAGAGCTCTCCCCACTCCTTTCTGCCCCTGGCCAAAATGTGACAGCTCCAAATGTGACAAAGAGAACATCATGGGTCACCTGTGGCTGCACAAGGAGCACCTGGAGGGTGGGAATGGCAGGGATACCTGGGCATTCCCACCTCACCTGGATTTCCTCCTGAGCTTGCCAGGCACATGTTCAGAATAACGAAGAAGCTCAGGCCAGACAACACTGTATTAGAAAACAGGGAAGCAAAGGAAAGGGAAGCAAACCCAGGGAGAGTTTGCATTGTGAACATCAACAGGCAGTAAATTCTCCCTGTCAGCTGCCTGGCAATTACTGCCTGAGCACGGTGGGCTGGGAGCTTGGGAATACCTGTAAACACTTCTGCACAGGCAATTTGTCTTGTAGCAGTACCCAAAACAGCTCCCAGGACTCGCACAGCCCTCATGCCTGGAGGGCACAGGATGAGTTGGGAACCACGGGGAGCTCACAGCTGCCTGAGATGAGGAAGGCCCACAGCAGCACCGGGGCTGGCTGAGCTGCAAGTCCCGCTGAAAAGCGCTGGGAGGAGTTTTCCACTTCCATTCCTGCCCTCAGGATCCGTGGCACCGACTGTGGCAGCCTCCCTGTGCAGGCAGAGCAGAAGAAAATGACCCTGGCTATGGAAAGGGCACAGCTGGGGCACCCAGGGAAGCGTTGAGGCCTCTCTGGGTGGGCTGGGGATGGGATTCCAGTGATATTTCATTAAGGCCTTTTAATCTTGAGATTTGTCGCTTTCTCTGCTTCCCCTTGGGCATGATGGGGCTGCTCAATCTGCAATGGGGCTGCAGGATCGAGCAGTGAGGGCTTCAACAGCTTGGGCAGAAACTTGTCTCTGCCCAAAGCCAGCTTGCTGGGCATCAGTGTGAGGGACAAGTCTGTGGACATGACAAAGAGCACTCAAACAAACCCCCAGGCCCCTCCAACACCTTCTTCAGCGGGAGCAAGTGGTTCAGCTTCCAGCACAGCCCGGCTGGACGCCGGTGTCGGATGTGCTGCAGCTGGAGGGATCCGTGTCGCCGACCTTGGCGGCTGCACGTGAGCACCAAGCGCGTGCCAGGCTGGGAAATGCACGTCCAGAGCCTCCCTCGCTGGGAGGACTCGGGCAGCAAGGCCAGACACACAGCTTTACCTCCATCCTGCTGCTCCTGGGGCCTCCACACCCCGGCACAGCCACCGACTGTGACTGCGGTGCTCTGAGAGTGGGAAAGGACCTCGGAGTGCTTTCAGAATGGGGAATGTCCTGACTGTGCATTGGGGAGTTCTGAGGATGGAGAAGTTCTGGGAGTGCTCTGAGGATGGGGAAGGTGCTGGACCTGCACCGGGGTGCTCTGAGGATGGGGAAGGACCTGGCTGTGCCCTGAAGGACTCTGCAAATGGAGAAAGTCCTGGCTGTGCACTGAGGAGCTCTGCGAACGGGCATGTCCTGTGGGTGCAGAGGTGCCCTGAGGATGAGGAAGGTTCTGGAAGTGAGAGCTGCTCACCCCACGGCTGTGACTGCGGTGCTCTGAGAGTGGGGAAGGACCTCGGAGTGCTTTCAGAATGGGGAATGTCCTGACTGTGCATTGGGGAGTTCTGAGGATGGAGAAGTTCTGGGAGTGCTCTGAGGATGGGGAAGGTGCTGGACCTGCACCGGAGTGCTCTGAGGATGGGGAAGGTGCTGGACCTGCACCGGGGTGCTCTGAGGATGGGGAAGGACCTGGCTGTGCCCTGAAGGACTCTGCAAATGGAGAAAGTCCTGGCTGTGCACTGAGGAGCTCTGCGAACGGGCACGTCCTGTGGGTGCAGAGGTGCCCTGAGGATGAGGAAGGTTCTGGAAGGAGCCAGGTTGGCTGGGATCGAAGCAACCTGGCGCGGTGGAAGGTGTCTGTGCCCACGGCAGCGGGTGGAGTGGGATGATTCCGCACGTCCTGTCCCACCTGAGCTTTTCAGAGCCCCAGTGACACAAGCAGGGTGTCACTGGATGGAGAAGTTCTGGGAGTGCTCTGAGGATGGGGAAGGTGCTGGACCTGCACCGGGGTGCTCTGAGGATGGGGAAGGACCTGGCTGTGCCCTGAAGGACTCTGCAAATGGAGAAAGTCCTGGCTGTGCACTGAGGAGCTCTGCGAACGGGCATGTCCTGTGGGTGCAGAGGTGCCCTGAGGATGAGGAAGGTTCTGGAAGGAGCCAGGTTGGCTGGGATCGAAGCAACCTGGCGCGGTGGAAGGTGTCTGTGCCCACGGCAGCGGGTGGAGTGGGATGATTCCGCACGTCCTGTCCCACCTGAGCTTTTCAGAGCCCCAGTGACACAAGCAGGGTGTCACACAGGCACAGGGTGTCCCTCACGAGCCGGGTGTCCAAGTGACATGCCCGAGGTGTCTCACACAGCTGGGGTGTCCCTCAGGAGCAGGGTGTCCCGCTGACACGCCCACGGTGTCCCTCAGGAGCAGGGTGTCCTGGTGACACACCCGGGGTGTCCCACATGAGCAGGGTGTCCCACATGAGCAAGGTGTCCCACACACCCAGGCTGTCCCACACACCTGCGGTGTCCCACACGAGCGGGGTGTCCCACACACCCCAGGTGTCCCACACGAGCGGGGTGTCCCGCTGACACGCCCGAGGTGTCCCACACGCGTGGGGTGTCCCACACACCTGGGGTGTCCCTCATGAGCAGGGTGTCCCACACACCCGGGCTGTCCCACACACCTGCGGTGTCCCACGCGAGCGGGGTGTTCCTCATGAGCAGTGTGTCCCACACACCTGGGGTGTCCTACATGAGCGGAGTGTCCCACACAAGCGCGGTGTCCCACATGAGCGGGGTGTCCCTCATGAGCAGGGTGTCCCACACCCGGGGTGTCCCACACACCCAGAGTGTCCCTCATGAGCAGGGTGTCCTGGTGACATGCCCGGTGTGTCCCACACGAGCAGGGTGTCCCACATGAGCGGGGTGTCCCTCATGAGCACGGTGACACACCCGGTGTGTCCCACACGAGCAGGGTGTCCATCATGAGCAGGGTGTGCCACACGAGCAGGGTGTCCCACACGAGTGGGGCGTCCCTCATGAGGAGGGTGTCCCACACCCGGGGTGTCCCACACGAGCGGGGTGTCTCGCTGACACGCCCGGGTGTCCCACACGAGTGGTGTGTCCCACACGCCCGGAGTGTCCCGCTGACATTCCCGGGTGTCCCACACGCCCGGGGTGTCCCGCTGACACGCCCGGGTGTCCCACACGCGCGGCGCCCGGCCCGGTCGAGCGTGCGCAGCTCCTGCGCCCTTTAAGCCGCGCCGCCCCTGCCCGTACGGGCGTCTGAGCCGCGGGAGCCGCGCGGGAAGGAGCCGCCACAGCGCCGGGGCGCGCCTTCCTCCACCTCCACCTCCTCCTGTCCCCCCTGCTCCTCCTCTCCGGCCTCGCCGCAGCCCCCTCCTCCCCACCCCGTGCCCCGCTCCTCCCGCCACTGCCAGCTCTAAGATGCCCCGCTATGAACTGGCTTTGATCCTGAAAGCCATGCAGAGGGTGAGTGAGGGAGAGGAGACGGGAGGAAGGGAGGGAGGCAGGTGGGACTGGCAGACCTTCCCCCCATCCTTTGCCCCGCGGTGTCCCCTCGGTGCCCGCTGTCCCCGCCGCACCGCGTGGCCCGGCCGGCCCTGTCGCCCGCAGTGTCGCAGCGTGTCCCGGGCTCCGCGGGGCTTCCCCCGCGCTCCGGCCCCTCGCCCATCGCCCCTTCCCCGCCCGCGCCCGCGGAGGCTTGGCTGAGCCGCTGCCCCCGAGCCGCAGCCCCCTCTCCCCCTCCCCTCCGGTCCGCAGGTAAGCAGATCCCACGCTCTCCGAGCGGCGGAGATGCGGTTTTCCTCGCCCATCCCCTCCCTCCGAGCCTGGAGCAGGTGAAGCCGGCCCTTCCCATGCCCCTGCCAGCGCATCCCCCTCTCCCTCTGCAGCACCAGCGCTCTGCATCCCCCTCCCCGCACCTGCGCTGGCACCTCCTCGGCTCCCCTGGGCTCCGGGAAGCCTCGGGGCGAGGGGAAAAGGGGGAACAGCGAGGATTCGCTCCAGCCAGCTGCCAGGCGCGGGGTGCCAGGGGAGGTGCCAAGGATGGGTTTTGCCCGCAGCAGTTGAGCGGGGCCGATAGGCCGGGCCGTATCGCCCCCGGGAAGGGCCGCTGGGGGTGGCAGCAGCCGTTGCCGCTGTTTTTTGGCAGCGCGGTGATAACGGAGCTCGGTTAGATGATGCTCTTCCCATTCGGCAGGAGCTGAGTCAATACGTGGGGGAAGGGGCGGGGGGGGTGGGAATGGGGGATGTGTGTGCGTAAAAATAATAATAATAAAATAAGGCCATCTCCGTGCGGATGGGAGGTTTATTTGGTAAATAACAGCTGATACCGGCCCTTCTCTAGTACCTTCTATAGCCTTTGTTTATCTGCTGCTTTCCAGCTTAATATGCGGTGCTGGTGTTGGAATGTAGCAGCACTTGCGCTGGGCTGGAGCCCTCCGATCCAGCCCGGCGGGGATACTGTGGGATTTACCCTTCATTCCCACCAGCACCTCTTCCCACCGAGCAGCAGCAGCTCAGCAGCGTGGCCGTGGTTTTTTGGGAATTACGGGAGCACGTCTGGTGTGCCGCATGCACTAGTACATTTCCATTCATTTTACATGGACCATCCACATGTCGGGGCTGGCTTTTCTTTTTTTTTTAATATATTTTTCCCCGTGGTTTAGCTGCAGAAGCTGTAGTAGAGACATCTCACCTGGGTCCTCTAGTGGAGAAACGCAGCAGCAGGGAGAAAGCCGGGTGACATTGCTGCACCAGCTCTCCCGGGCAGAAATACGCTGCTTTTCCACTTGCTTGTCAACATATAATTTTTGTCCGATTTTTTTTTTGTTCTTTTCTACACCTCTCCCCTTGGGTGGATGAGGCAGAGGTGCTTTTTGTAGCCGTGCTGTTGATGTGGGAGATGCTTTAAGCCAGCCAGGCACTCGGAATGCAGGGCAGGACAGCAAGCGTAGCAAATCTGCCGTAATATTGAGGCAGGAATAAACTGACTTCTCTGAAAGGATGCCATGGAGTGCTCTCTGCTGGAAAGGCTCTCTGGTTTCTAGGATCTGACCACGGAGATGCAGGGATAAGCTTTTAGCCGTAAGATGCTTCTAATGAACATCAGTGCACTCAGGATTTAACATCTGCAACCTTTGCCTCTTTGAAGTTGGACTCTCCAGCATGTTCTTTCCACATGGATGTATCTTTAAGGGGTTTTTTTAGCTCTGTGATTATGTCCAAACATTTCAGTTTGTGCTGGTGTTTTTAACCCACCCTTGTTGTAAGTCTAAAATTTAGAGTCTGTCTGCAGGTGCTGCTGTTTTCAGCACACCACATCTAGGTGGTTTCCCAATATTTTGCTGCTCCTGCCTTTCTTGTGCCATGAGAACACTTGGAAATATTTTCTCGAGTGGTTTTATGCTCTGTGGTGCTGCTGGATCTTTGCTGGGAGGTTTCTCTAATGACCCCTGTAATCTGTGCACAATCCTGGCTGTAATACTGAATTAAGTGAGGCAAAATGTGGGCATAATAAGCCGGTCTGAAATAGTGGAATGATTCCATAACTCCTTCCCAGAGGAGAATAAATGACATTGCTTTTCCACGCTGGTGACAGCACCTGGGCAGGTGTTCCCTGTCAGTCCCTCTGTGGTGGCTGCATGTCCTGGTGCTGTCTGAGCAAGTGCTGACTCTTCCTTTGGTGTCTGTGATGTCCTTCCTCACCTGTGGCAGCTCCCCTGTCCTCCAAAAAAACCCCAAACCCTTGTCACTTGGCTTTCCTGTGCTTTAGGGTTGTCCTGAACTTCTCGGGGCTCTCTGGCAGCTTGGTGCAAACCTCAGCCTGGAGACTTTGCTGCCTCTCTTCAGAGGCAAACTTGGTGCTTCTGTGGGGTTTTCCCCACCCACAACTTTCTTTTAATAATTCCCTTGGCATTCTCAGGGATCCAGGCAGAATAAGTCCCTCCAGTTCATTTTTGTTACTTTTAAGCCCTGTTGCTGCCCAGCCCTGCTCGTGTCCAAGTCAGGGATCCTTTCCTGTTCTTTCCCTGCATGTGGCTTCTGTTTGGGGTCTGTTGGGAGGGTCCCATCCATCCTGCCTGATGCTCTCCTCAGGCTTGGCAGGCTCCAGAGCCTCTTCAGCTCTCCTTTTGTGCCTTAAAAATGCAACACCCAAGAGCTTTGGGGATGGGAAAACTTTCACTTTGCGCTGGTTCCACTTACCAGCCTTTGTCTCTGCTTGTCTGCATGTACTTTCCACAAAAAGTCAGGATTTTATTCTGAATTCAAAGCTGAGCAGCTCTTCTCTGCCCTGATTTGTGAGAGGTAATGGACTAAAACCTCTGTATTTTTATATATTAAAACCCAGGATATTTTATATACTCTGTATATGTAGAGAATTTTTCATCAGCAGAGCCTCCAGTTAGTGACTCTTAGGAAAACAATAATAAAAGCCACCGCAAAATGAATAATTCTCCCTACTCTGTGGTGTATTTGGAGGTTGAGAGGTTTGTGTTGCTGCGTGAGTTTATGGAGGGGATGCTTTGGGCAGAGCAAGGTGTGAGCACATGGAGGTGGAATGAATCATTTTGCCCATTGTGTTGCTTTCCACACTGCAGCATGGAAAAAGCAAATGCTGGGGGGAGCTTGGTGGCAGATTTGTTATCTGTTAGCAGTGTCCAGGTGTTTGCAAACCAAACCTCACCTGCCCACAGCAGCCCCAGCCAAGCCCTGCAGCTGTGCTGGAGGGAAAGGTGCAAAATGAAGACACAGCTGTCCATGGCCTGAATTCCCTGTTCACAGCAAAAGCCGAGTTTCTAAGAATTCCTGATTTTTCTCCCATCTTTGGCTCTGAGTGGGGGGATTGTGGTGGAGCAGCACCTTCAGCAGGGAAGGGCAGTGAATCCCCAGGAGTGAATCTGCAGGAATTCTCACTGCCTGGAAGAGCAGGGCTCTGCAGGAGCTCTGAAACTCCCTGGGAAGGAAGGAAGAGCTGGAAATGGTTTCCTGCTCTGAGGCTGTTTGTCAGAGTGACTGAGGGTGGCAATGCCAGACCTCCAAGGGGACTGGGACACAGATGGGAGTCGCACAGTCCTTGAGCTTGGAGAAGACCTCCAGGATGGATCCAGCCTTTGACTGATCCCCACCTTGTCACCCAGAGCAGAGCACAGGGACATCCATCCCCAACAGCAGCCATTTGTATCTGGAACTGATGGGCACTTTGTAAATAACTCAGAGTATTTCACTACAAACGAGGAAATTCATCAATATTTTATTAGCAGTGTGCTCATCTTCACCTGTGACAGAGTTCAGACACACAGAGTCATAATCTAAAACCTAACCACTGTTTTTTTTTACAGCAAATACCTGGACTAGGAGACCTATCCACCCACTTCTGGAATCCCAGAGTGGTTTGGGTTGGAAGGGGTCTTAAAAATCACCTTGTTCCACATGGCAGGGACACCTTCCACTATCCCAGCTTGCTGCAAGCCCTGTCCAGCCTGGCCTTGGACACTTCCAAATAATAATAATAATAATAATCCTGCAGTGAATGTGTGCTCTCATTTCTCCAGCCATGTTCTCACAACACAACTTGTCTTCAGCAGCTGTTTGTTGCTTTTGGAGTGGGTTGCCGTGTTTCCAAAATTCCCTACCTGCCGTGTGGGGATTGTTGGCTATTTTGGGAAAGCCAAAGTAAATGGGCAGTAGTGTTGCTTGACATCTTGACTATTTCACTTAATTGCTGTGTAGGCAGCTGCAGCAACTGGGCTTTTGATGTCTCAGTTGCCAGGAAGGAGGGGGAGAGAATGAAGCAGGAAGATACTGGGTTTATTTATTTTATTTTATTTCCTTTCCGGTGAACCACCTGCTCTTCCAATGGAGTTGTGCATCTTCCCCACCCCTCTTCCCAGCTGAGCAGGTTAAAATTACACAGAAGTTTTTTCCTCTGTTCCCACTGGCATTTTCAGTAGGCTGGAACAGGCTCTTGAGCCTGGCAGGGAGGGATCCTGGAGCTGGGGGTGGTGCTGGGAAGGAGACCAAAGCCTTGGAACTAAAGACAGGATCAGAAAACAGCAAGATCCAGCCCTGACTCTGCTGGAGGAGTCACCTCTTTGTTTTCTGCCTTGAGCATTCCATAAGAAGAACTGGATTTTGGAGAGTGTGGTGCAGACAGCATTTGGGAACGATACCCTCTTGCCTGATATTTGACATTTTCAGTCTTGGAAGAGCTGGAATTTTTGCCAAGTGTGGCATACGTGCCTGGGTCTGAGGGGACATACAGGATTATTCTCTACTGCAGAATAGTTTAAGCCTAATTTCAGTTTCTTGCAGGCCCCTGGTGGGATTTCAGTGGGGTTTGGCCAGTGCCTCTGCAGGGGACAGCAGTGGGGGCTAAGCTTTGAGTTCAGACTTCCCTGGGCTGCCCCTGTTTCCTCCTCAGCAGTGAACTCTGTGCTCCTGGTTAGGTTTTGTTCCTGATGTGTTTT